CAAGTAATCACGAGAAAAATCAATAATAAACGGATCTAGGATTTTATCTTCCCCCTATGCAATAATTCTTCACCCAATTAATCTCCTATCATGCAAGTTACGATTCCCGATTATTAACCCAAGACACGGAATTATTCATAACCAGCTGTCGCTGCGCTATAAACCTATTATTCATAAAAGATTCACTATATGTCTATGCAAACCTAGTATAAATAAAGCATTAAATATCAAGTCTCGTAAACGGCTACCTAAGGTATTATCTGTATGTCTACGATAATACATGCAATTCACACACGCATTCGGTGAAAAACTACTCGAAGGCTCTCCTATCCCTGTTCTAATTATTAAAACGATCTGTCAATCAATTCTAACAATAACAAATAGCAACATAAGTTAGCTACGCTCATGCACTAAATAAGATCAAGATAGAGGAAATAATCGAAGAATTAAACTTGCATAAAAGTCGAAAAAGAGGTTCGAATCACCACATAGGGTTCCAATAAAATCCTAGAATAAAAACTTAGCTACTCATGTTCGTTACGGAAAACATAATGAAAATACGAAAAATCATAAAAACAATAAAAGAGGAGAACTATGATGAAGAGTCGTCAAGTCTTCGTCTTCGTTCTTGTGCTCCTTGATTGCGTGTCGAAAGATAAAAACTAAAAACCTAAAGATTAAAGCTAAAAGGTAAAAAGATAAAAGATAGGTTTAATTGTGTGCTTGTGGCTTTTAAATAGAGTGCAAAACTATAATAGGGCGGGTTTCCTTGTGTAATTAAAATTCCTTCACTGCGCCATCACGCCCATCCGGACGGCCGTGTGAGATTTTGAACTAAAATCCGCACGGCCGTGCGGTCTTTGATTCTCCAGATTTCTGATTTTTTCACTTTTGGCCCACTTTTTCTCTGAATTTGCAGTTTTCACCCCAAAAGTTGCCAATTCTTCAATTTGCACCTAAAATACAAATAATAGCCATATTAAGCACCAATTATCGTAAAAACACATCAAAAGCTCCAATTAAAAGGTACAATTAAGTGTATAAATATACACTTAACACACCCCCAAACTTGAACTTTTGCTTGTCCTCAAGTAAAATCAAATTAAGAACACAAACCATGACAATACATCTCATTACATAGGTTGATTGGTCAACTTCGTGTTTTCAGAACTTGCAATTATGATGATAATTCATAGGTATTCGCAAGCTTAACATTCAACGGCACTTAGTCACTCACTATTACCAAAAACCACAAATCATACAGTTGCTTCAAGTATCCAATATTTGCAAGTTAAAGATAGAAAGAATTTATACTTACATGCATATATTTGACTCCAAATACTCACCAAATTATTCTACTCAACTAATATTGAACAATAAGCTATTGGGATCATTGGGGCTTTGTGGCTTTCAATTGTTAGGCTCTTTGGTCCGAGGTAGGTAATATGGGAATGTGTGGCTAATTTTCTTGAATTGAGGTGAATACGCCAAAATTTGAAAGATAGGCGTTTGAAACAATGAATTCACCTCTAGGGACTTAAATAAACTCGATTCTCCAAAATTCACACGTCAACACTTTTGCCTTGAGGCAATGGATCGAGTTTTCAACACAACTCAACAACTAGTCCTTATTTCTCCCTTCTAATCTATTCTTCTTCTTCTCTTCTTTTTTTTTTTTTTTTTTTTTTCATATCGAAGGATTTAGATATATATATATATATATATATATATATATATATATATATATATATGAAGATGCACATATATATCTATCCTTTTTCTTTTTCTCTTTTTTTTTTTTTTTTTTTTTCGAAGAAGAAGAAAGATCTTATAAGAATTTTTCGACCGACCACCAAGGGATAATTATTCAAAAATCTCCACTTTTCTACCTTCTACATATTGGCTAAAAGAAAGAACACCTTTTCTCCGAGGCTCAAATCAAGGTTCTAAGGATAAATTGACAAAAAGGGTAGGCTTGAAAGGCTCAAACGGTTCAAAGAAGGCCCAAATCATATCCCAAATCACTTATTATCAACACTTCGTATCATAAATGTCCTAAGGTGAGATTTAAAACCGAACAAAGCATGATTGAGCACAAATAAATTCCAAATTTAAAATGCAAAACATTCAACCAAAGCAAAGCACAAGGTGTGATTCCTAGCAATAATTCACTTCTACGTTCCGTTGAATCGAAAGCTAAACAAATACATACTCCTTATCAACATAAAACAAGTAGTCTCATCATCAAACATTGACCATCTACCATCATCGTAATTCATCGATGCATCGGACACAATTTTTTTTTTTTAATCGAAAATAATAAAACAACAATTAAAACAAAAACTAAAGCATGCAAAAAAAATAAAAAAAAATAAAACACACATAAAGCGCACATAAACGAAAACAAGTAATTAACCACCCCCAAACTTAAAATTCACATTGCCCTCAATGTGATTCGCCCGGAGTTTAAGGATAGAAAACACCTGTTTAAACGTCGGGACCACCGTCAGGTTGCTCACCAACTCCACCATGTGCATGAGCATCATCCTCCTCGTTATCCTCCAATAGCTCGGGGTACCGGCTCAAGAATCGGTGCGGGAAAATCGTCGAACACCTTGTGGGCGTTCTTGGTGGAATGGGTTTTTTCGAGAAAATTGCACCGTTCTTGAATCTCCCTGCGCAAATCAACAACAAACCACCTTGATTACGTAGTATATGTGTGTAGTTGGTAAATTTTCGGTGAAATTTGTCAAAGAAAAGGGAAAATTTCGAAAAAGGAAGGCGAGGGTTCGAATTGGGGGAGAGACGGGATTTGGGAATTATGGAAATTGATTTTTTTTTTTTTTTTTTTTTTCTTTTCTTTTCTTTTCGCACGGCCGTGCAAAATTTAGGTGAAAAATCCGCACGGCCGTGCCCTTTTCCAATTTTGGGCAGTGGCCTCTTCAAATTTCGCACGGCCGTGCGAGATTTAGGTGTAAAATCCGCACGGCCGTGCCCTTTTCCTATTTTGGGCAGTAGCTTCCCCGAAATCTCACACGGCCGTGTGAATTTCCTGCCCTTTTCTTGCACGGCCGTGTGAATAATTGCAATTAGGTCCCTGCAAAATAAAAACTTCCTATTAGTGCCCCCAAAACTTTTTTTTTTTTTTTTTTTTTTTTTTGAAAAATAAAATAAAATAAAAGCCAAACTAAAAAATTTAAAATAACATAAAATAAAAAAAACGAAAGCTCAGGTTGCCTCCCGAGAAGCGCTAAGTTTACAGTCTTCAGCCGGACTTTGTCTGCTTCTTTGTTCAAGCTAACGTGACCGAAGTCACATGGCGATTGCATCCCTCTCCCCAATAATGCTCGTTTGGTTCGTTAGGTGGCCACATCCACCTTGCTCGTTCAACACCGTTATCACCCCAACTCTTTTGAATATTTTTCGGAGAAGTTGACATTGAGTCCGCATAATAAAATTGCTCCGTTCGACTACCGTTTCCGCCACCATCTCCTGCACTCAAAGATCCTTTCCCATGGTCTAAGATCAAAACGTCAAAATCGTCATGATTTGTAAAATCCACAAGATCAATAGCATAACAATCATTATCATCACATGGATTTTTATTAGCGCTAAAAACGTTAAATTTGATCGTTTGATCGTGCACCGTCATTGTAAGATCACCACTAGCGCAATCAATTAGAGTTTTCGACGTGGCTAAAAACGTTCTTCCTAGAATAAGAGGTATCTCCCTATCTTCATCTATATCAAGTATAACGAAATCCACAGGGAAAATAAATTTATTCACTTTCACTAGCACGTTCTCTAAAATACCTTTTGGGTAAACTAAAGACCTATCGGCTAATTGAAGGGTTATAGCCGTTGGTTCAATCTCACCTAACCCAAGATTTTTGTAAATAGAATAAGGCATAAGATTAATGCTAGCACCTAGATCAATGAGTGACCTAAAATTTCTACCTCCAATAGTGCAAGGGATAGTGAACTTACCTGGGTCGCCGAGTTTTTGTGGAAGGGGCCGTACAAGAATTTCACTGCATTGCTCCGTGAGTTGGATGATCTCGTTCCCTTGCAATTTATTCCTCTTCGTCACGAGCTCCTTGAGGAATTTCACCCACTTTGGCATCTTTTGAATGGCTTCGATAAACGGAATGTTGATATGGAATTCCTTCAGCTTGTCCAAGAATCCTTGGTGTTCGGCATCGAGCTTCTTCTTTTTAAGCTTTTGAGGATATGGGACTTGAGGGACTCGTGCGATCACTGTGGGAGATGGCGGTTCCTTGCGATTTGCTTCTTTTTCCTCAATCACGTTCGGCTCCTCGATTACCGTGTTTTGCTTCTCCTTTCGTGGGGCCTCCTCCAATTGTCTCCCGTTCCTTAAACTCACGGCGTTGCACTGCTCGATGTTGTTCTTCCGAGGATCTTCCGTGTTTGATGGCAGTGCTCCCGATGGCCTCGCTGTTAGTTGGGTTGCAAGTTGACCCATTTGTGTTTCCAAGTTTCGGATGGAGGCTTGGGTGGTCGTCATAAATTGCGCCAAGATATTTGAGAGATCTCCACCTTGAGGTTGGGCTTGAGGCGGATTTTGAAATCCGGGAGCTGGTCGTGAATGATTTGGCGGTTGACCTTGAGGTGGTGCTTGCCTTTGTCCTTGCTGATTTCCTCCCCACCCAAAGTTAGGGTGATCTTTCCATCCGGGATTGTACGTGTTGGAGTACGGGTTTCTCTGTTGTCGGTTGGTGTCATGCACATAATTCAGAGACTCCGTTTCTTCTACGCGCTGGTCAGGAACTTGAACTGCATGGACTTGCTGAGTTTGCAAAGCCGCTACTTGCTTCGATAGCTTCTCCAATTGGGCCGTGATTGCCGTGACTCCGTCTAGCTCCAAAATTCCTCCCGTCTTGACTGCTCCGCTATTCGACCTATCCGCTGCCCGCATGTATTTATTTCTAGCAATTCGCTCCAAGAGTTCGTATGCTTCGTCGTAAGTCAAACTCATGAACATGCCTCCAGCTGCAGAGTCGAGTACGGTTCTCAAGTTGTCTTGCAGTCCATCGTAAAATATTTGCAATTGGCGCCACTCTTGTAGTCCATGATTCGGGCACCTCCTTACTAGCTGCTTGAACCGCTCCCACGTCTCGAATAGTGCTTCACCGGCTTCTTGTATGAAATTTTGAATTTCTCTCCGGATTCTCTCAGTTTTTGTTGGGGAGTTGTATGTGTTCATGAAAAGTTGCGCTAGCTGGGCCCAAGACGAGATGGAGTGCGGTGCGCGAGTTTGCAACCATTCTCGGGCTGCTCCTTGTAGGGAGTGCTTGAACAGGCGGAGTTGCAGTGCTTCGGGTGTTACTCCGTTCATCTTGTGCGAGTCACACGTCTCGAGGAAGTTGACCAAGTGGAGGTGTGGGTCTTCATGAGCCAATCCGCTGAATAAACCATTGTTTTGAAGCATCGTGAGGAGTCCCGCTCGAATCTCGAAATTGTTGGCTTCAATGGGGGGCTGCTGGATGCTTGATTGGAACCCATTGAGTGTCGGGACGGTGTACTCGTGCAGTGCTCGTTGACGCGGCGGTGGATTAATCAGCTGGCGTTGCTCTTGCTCGTTGACGATTTCTCTTGCCACATTCGGTGGGCGCCTTTGGTCACCTTCTCCACGATTATTCTCGTCCTCCATCGTTGCCGGATTGTTTTGGACTAACCGTTGATTTCTCCTGGCTTGCCTAAACGTTCGCTCAATTTCGGGATCAAGAGATAGCAAGCTCGTGTCGTGTCCTCTTCGCATAAAAAGTACCTAAAAAAAATAATTAAATAATTAAATAAAAAAAATAAAAAAAAATGGCTGAAGTAAGAAAAATTGCTCGAATTTAATATTAGGATAAATAAATAATTTAGCCGTATTCCCCGGCAACGGCGCCAAAAACTTGTTGGGTGCTAAATACCAACACGCAAGTGTACGTATCGCAAACAAGTAGTAAAGTAGACTCGTGAGAGTCAGATGTCGATCCCACAGGGAATACGTAAATTATTTAATCCTAAGTACCAAATCCTAACAATTGTGATTTTTATCCAGCCTACGCAAGGTTGTCAAATTAATTAACTAATAAAATTAAAATAATTAAGAAAACAAGTAATCACGAGAAAAATCAATAATAAACGGATCTAGGATTTTATCTTCCCCCTATGCAATAATTCTTCACCCAATTAATCTCCTATCATGCAAGTTACGATTCCCGATTATTAACCCAAGACACGGAATTATTCATAACCAGCTGTCGCTGCGCTATAAACCTATTATTCATAAAAGATTCACTATATGTCTATGCAAACCTAGTATAAATAAAGCATTAAATATCAAGTCTCGTAAACGGCTACCTAAGGTATTATCTGTATGTCTACGATAATACATGCAATTCACACACGCATTCGGTGAAAAACTACTCGAAGGCTCTCCTATCCCTGTTCTAATTATTAAAACGATCTGTCAATCAATTCTAACAATAACAAATAGCAACATAAGTTAGCTACGCTCATGCACTAAATAAGATCAAGATAGAGGAAATAATCGAAGAATTAAACTTGCATAAAAGTCGAAAAAGAGGTTCGAATCACCACATAGGGTTCCAATAAAATCCTAGAATAAAAACTTAGCTACTCATGTTCGTTACGGAAAACATAATGAAAATACGAAAAATCATAAAAACAATAAAAGAGGAGAACTATGATGAAGAGTCGTCAAGTCTTCGTCTTCGTTCTTGTGCTCCTTGATTGCGTGTCGAAAGATAAAAACTAAAAACCTAAAGATTAAAGCTAAAAGGTAAAAAGATAAGTAAAGACGAATTATTACCTAGGGCCCGGCTGGC